GTTAGCAAGTTTTCTATACTATGCTTATGTTCTTATAGCATGTAGCTCTATGCTTTTCGTTATTTGTAACAATTTTTTATTTTTTTCTATCTTGAGACTAGGTAGTAACAACTTCTAGTTTAGTCTTAGATTAGATTAGGAGGGACCTAGAATCTTAATAGTAGCTAGAAGTCACCGATTGTTGATCAAAAGCTAGGATGTACTGTTCTATACAGTGAACTACTTTTAGGAGATAAATAGCTTCTGCAGCAGATCGAACTTGAGCACATTTAACGTAGCTGAGTTAGTTCGGACCAAATTATAGAGCAGTATATAGTTATGTCGAGATATAATAATGTACTGTATGTTATCTTTTGATAAACTTTCTATAATAAAGAAAAAGGCAAGATCACTCAAGTGGAAAAAAACAAAAAAAAAAAAAAAAAAAATCAAAATAAACAAAAAAAAATATTTTTTCTTTAACTTTAGAGTTAGGGCCAAAGCTTATATTAGAGTTAGAGTTTAGCAAGATCTATAGTAAAATTTCACAAGAAATTTTTTTATTTAAAGCTTCAAAAGTAGTTTTATAAGCAAAATTTTAAGATAATTTTATTACAGATAATGATTACCTGTAGTATAAATTAGCAAACTAATAAAAAAATTTTAAATACTGTAATAATAACTGATAAATACGAAACATGGCCTCACCTTGGCTTTGCTTAAAAAAAAAAAAAAAAAAATAACTGATAAATACTGCAAATTTTATATAGTTATTGCATATAAAGTATGTAATAACTGCTAAATAATAATTATGTCCAATAAATTATTTGGACAAATTGGATATTGTTCAAATGTTCAAATGTCCAAATTGTCCAAATGTCCAATTAACTGGCACTTTGGGGGGCCGACTCGATTTATGCATTATTAATTATGCGATATCAACTCTGATATGCAGATATGCACTAGCCCTAATCTCGATTGACTAATAGACTCTCCTTTAGATCTCGGATTACGGATCGAAACAATAATAGTAAAAATTTAATCATCTTCCTATTAATTTGTTTACTTTTACGTTTTTTACGAGAATTATGGCTTCAAGTCAACCTTCTGGTATAACTTTCGCTAATATACAGTCACTTTTTTGCTTTATTTTTAATGAATATAATAATATAATAACGATATTATTTTTGAAATTGAAGACGAATTTACAAATATAAACTCGACGCGTCTAATTGATTACTTAGCAAACTCACTAAAGCAAACAGCTAAAGGTGTACACACATATACTATATATGCACTTTCTACTAAACTGACACCTAAAGACTCTTTAACACTTAAAGATGGCTCGAATACTAGTGGATCTAATCTCTTCGAGAGACAACTACTATTACTTGTAAATGAAAAAATTCCAGCAACGAAAAATAATGAAATATTTGTTACCGGTGTAGAAATTTATGAATATCATGATTTTGATAGAGATTCACTTAATATATATATATCTAAAGTGGATACTACTGGATATCGACCTTATTCTTATACCCCTACCAAAAATTTATTGATCGCTTATATGAAATTTTATTTAGAAGATATTAGTGTGAATAAAAAACTTTTATTGAAGCGTAAAACTATCAAATTTAATATTTTTGCGCGACCACATCCTCAATATCTATTTCGTCATTCAGATAAAAATTTGATGAAACATGTATTAGATGATTCTGAATTATTAAAATGGTGGAAAAATATTCTTCAACAAACTTTTCTGAGTGAAAATATACAAGAGAAAACTCGAAAGAAACGAGGATGGTTTTATTTTCCTGGTATACCTTCCGACAACATGGCACTTACATTTATCAGAGATAATGTGGATGGTGAAGTGGAAAATAGCGAAAATTCATTCTGGCAATATGGATATCCATATCCAGATGATGAAGAAGCAATAAAAGTCATTCCTAGATTTGAAGATGACGCCAAAACAAGGTGGTTGGATACTGCCGGGGAATCATCATTGACAGTAAAGAATTTTTGGGAATTGATATCTATTGGGGGGGAATTTGCTGGTGGAAGACAGGCGGGTTTCTTCTGGGTAGAAGCTGTTTTAGAAGATAATCGAGATTTGACGAACCAGGATATGGAGATAGAGTCCATCGTTGATCATCAAAGTTTGAACTCGGAAATAAAGGAAGAGCTTGAAAAAGAAGTTGGAGGCATTGTTGTTAGCATTAACACATATGTTAAGGCACTTGGAGAGCTTTTTGCTCAAGAGTTTCATTCTGAAGAGGCAGCAATTGAGTCAACCTCATATTGGTGTCGTTATTTCTATAAACTCTACTCGAACAATATAGCAATTGAATTTATGGTAAATAATTCTAATAATCTGCAGGCGCGTGTCAAAAGAAAAGCAGATTATGATCAACAGCTTAATGCTACTCTAGTTACCCCAGTTAATAATCAGCAGATGCAAAGAACAAATGATGATGAGCTGCCTAACACAATCCTAAACATAACAACAAAAGATATAAAGATAAACGTGTTGTCTCCTTCGTTGATAAAGAGGGTTAAAAAATGAAATATGTTTATTGAAGTATTTGTTATCTAAATATTGTTTACAAAACAATTAAAGTTTAATAGTAAAAGATATAAAATTAATTTGAGATAAAGACAAATTATGCTCATAATTGTTATACTGTATTAAAAGTAAACTTCAAATGAGTAAATCATATTTATTAAAGTTAAAATGTTTAGTGCTTCTGGCTGTATATAATCGGTGTTCAAATTTACAGAAACTTCTTTGACACTTTTACATTTTTTTCTAATTTTCAATATGACGTGTTTTAGAAATTTTTAAATCTGAATCAACTTTTACGATCATATCAATTAAATAAAATGAACCAGATTTACGATCTTTTAAACTGTGAAAATTAATAATAATAATTCTCTGATAATAAGATAATTAATAAACAAATATAAGTTGTATTTATTATAATCACATGTCTAATAAAAGAAAAACCTGAATTTTATAAACAACCTTTTCAACTTGCTTCCATGTTAACCAATTCTTCAAATGATGATAATATAATTTTAATTCCATTTTTCAAAATTATTTCTGCTACTAATATTTCATCTAAAAAATAAAAAACTAATAGAACTTCTTATAATCGAGATTAATACTACTAGACTAGATATAGTATTACTTTGATAATACTTGTTAATTACATATAAGTTAGTAAATAGAAAAATAAAATAAAATATAATTACTTTGAAATGTAGTGTTACAAGTGGTGTAGCCTTCTTAATACACCCTAAGTAACATAAGACACGGAAGGAAGACTTCCAATGGTGTCAAAGTGAAATATTACTTCACTGTGGCGGTTCATTAGAGAAGTTTATTTTTAAAGCCAAAAGATCATATTTATTAAAGAACTAATAGAGAACTT